ATTAGATGTTATCCCATCCAAACTTGATTCTTTTGCAAACTGGCAAGTTCGCGTTCATATTTTTTTCAAATATTCTTTTTAATCTTATTCAGGCTGATATCAATATTAACTGTTTGTTGTATTTTCATATTGTGGATAGGCAAATAACGCTCTTGAATGTGTTCGTTGGCGTTTCAGTAAAGTTTCCTCGCGGAATATAATAGCCTCTTTATTAGCGATTTTAAAAGGCGAAATTTATCTCAAATGATGTTTTCACCTGTTTTATAAAATAAATATAACGACGAAAGACGTTGATTTTTAGCAGAAAACGTAAATAGTAAATATCTAAGCTCGTGCAAAAAAAATCCTAAAACCACTTCTTGAGCATGCTTCGAGCAACTTCGAAGATTCGAACGCACGTTTCAAACGATCATCCTTCATGAAGGATATAAAAATAATTTTATTAAAAAGTACAATTTCGACTTTTTTTTAACCATATATACAGGGTGCCCCACCGGGAACCTCCGCGATCTCCGGAACCTCATGATCTGGAAGACATGTGGTTCCGCAGGGTGGGGCTACGAGTTACACAACACTGGTAGTTAGAGCCCTATTACAAGAGAAATTTCCAGGACGCGTAATTTTGAGATTGAGTGATGTCAATTGGCTCGCACGACCCTGCGACTATTGTTATAACTATCAAATGGGTATGATCACGATCCGCTTGAAATAACATAAACAGGGTCAACAGTTGTTCCTTGTTATGGTTTGGGGTGCTGCCTGATTCCATTCAGCCATGTTTTCCAATTTTAATTTGTGTGATTATTCTGCACCGCTTGTAACGATAGGTGATTGACTTACTCTGATGACCTCTGTGTTTGTATCTTCTGTCCATAACGATTGTACGTGATATATTGTGAACTATTTTATTATATTTTTTTTATTTTTTACCATCGTTGACTGTACTCTATGTACTTTATGTTGTAGTATTTTGTTTGAATTTTTTCATGGCAATAAAGCATATTTTGATTTGATTTGACTTAACACCGTTAGATTTTTATGTGGGGCTATGCGAAAGATTGTGTTTACGCCAACAATCCTCACACTCTAGTTCTCTAAAATTTGGTCTATTTTGACCTTTCTTCAATTCAGTAAGAATGCAGTTTATAAACCTCGCATGACAGTTCTACGTTAAAAACCCATTCAGACTGTAWCGCGCAAAAACGTAAAACCCATAATCAAACATGATAAAATTGCTAAAAATAGATAATTTTTTCTTACATTTCCGTGAAAATGTAAATATTTTGGAGTATACATTTCGTAAATATATGGAATTTTTCTCGTATTTTGCTGAACTACGCTCCAAACTTTTATTAGTTCTTACAAACTGCTGCAACATCACATGTTCACATGCACATGACTTGTACGTAATGTATTTTAAGTCAAATAATTGTACATTTTTCGCCAGACTTTGCTCACCAGCTATTGACCAGACTCAATAAAATTTTAATTAGTTTTGGGCAATTGCAAATTTTTATTATTGCTATATTTTATTCATGTCGGTATATAAATTATTATATCCATTCTCTGTACAGGTTGATTCCAAATTGGCGTCATTCCTTTTAAGGGGTGATAGAGGCTCACTTGGGGAGTACGAGAAAAATATTGAAAATTTTTTTTCGTACGATTTTTCGAAAATTTCTAGAAGATATTAACAGCTGAAGATCGAATTTCAACTTTGTTATTAAGCATTATTTAGAAATAGGTCCATGTGTAATTGGTAGCATATTGGAATACTTAAAAATTACGATCTTTGCTTCAAATTGCGAAATTTTTTTATATCAAAAAAGTTCTCTTCTACAATTTTTTGATCAAAAATCACAGCGGCAATGATGTTATCTGTCATTAACAGATAGTTAAAGGTGGATAGCCCTTGTCAATAAAAACCATAATTTGTCAAACTGTGACTTACTTTGAATTTCCTTTCACCAATTTGCGGATATGCGATTAGTTCAGGGGAAATGCTACAGTAACATAGCAGAAGCTGAAAGAACTCACGCTAACAAGGGGCGAGGAGAGCGGTTCCAGGAAGATAGTGGACGACAATCGATGTTCGGCTTCCAGACACAGAGGAACAAGTATAAAGCATAATCAAAACAGGGCCTTCCAGGGGCACTCAGAGCACAATAACTGACACTTTCCCAAGCACAAAATAAATACCGAGGTAGGGCTACATTCCTATCACGTTTGTACGATACACACACCACAAGGAGATACAAATGGAGCACGAGTTTATTAACTGAATACGAGCAGCTGCTTGATAAGAGTGGATAATAAGGAGATTACACAGGCACTAGCTTGTTTGCAGTTAACCATTCAAATGTTTGATTTTGTATGGATTATTTATGTAAACACCAAACCCCGCAGAATTCGAGGTTATGAGAACAAGTTGACATGTCGAAACTACGTTGCGCAGTCAACGAATCTTGAATCGTTAAATTTACTACTTTTTAATAACAATTAATTTCTTTTATTATTTTTTTCTGTACTCCTATGACAGCGCCAGACACCACCTCCACAGGAATGACGCCAATTTTGAATCACCCTGTATAAATATAACTTAATATTTCGTAATTCCCCAAATGTCCTTGTTCCAGAAAACCAGTGACCGATGACGTGAACTGGCCATTATATACGAAAGAGCAACCTCAATACTTTATATTTAACGCTGAAAGGAACGGGATTGGCAGAGGTCCTCGTGCACAAGCATGTGCGTTTTGGAATCATTTTTTGCCTAAATTGCGAGAAAATTCAGGTAAGTTTTTCCAGTTCTTTAATGTTATTATATAGTGGGCAGTCATTTTGTTAATTTCATCTTAGTGGTATAATTTTTCGTTCGAAAAGTAACTTTTTACCTCTCACTTTTTGAACATTGTGGCTCAAATTATCTGAATGCATTCCGGTGGCACCTGTCACTGAAATTTTAATTGTTTGTATCAATTTTTTTTCCGTGATATTTGATAAAATTTTCTGTCAGGTCATTTTTCAACAAAAGCTACACATATATTAGTATACGACATGGAAGATTGCGGCTAAACTGTTTAATTTTAAAAACGTTTGCTTTACGGCCAAATGGAGGCCCGTTGGGGGTACAGTCAAAAATTATTTTCTCATATACAGGGTGCCCGAATCACTAGATTCAACCCAAAGTTGCATTTTTTAAATAAAATGCCATGTATATTATTATGTTATTATTGTCTATTATCGAAGTAAACGCGAGTTTTATTAAGAGTTATCTTAATAGAACTAGATATAATTCTTCTCTAGATAGAAATAAATCTTAGGGTTTGTGAGATGTTTGAAATTTTGTAAAAACGGAAATATTTTTATTGGTTTAAATTCTTAACACCCATTCTGAGCTTCTAATTAAAATTGTACCGTGCGGCTATCAATAGACGCAGTTGTGTTACAAATGAATTAAAATTAGACCAAAAAAACAGGTTGTCTCAAAATTGTGTTTAAACAATTGCACGTTTTGACCGCTAAATACGAAAAATCTACTTTTCTATTGAAAATGCCTGAGGCTTTTACAGAAATAGTATATTGTAACGGAAATGGCCTGGGGTACTCACGTTTGAAATAGAGGGATCAAAATTCATGGTATTTCAGTAAATAGAGCCCCATTTACGCCCCATTTACTGTCAACTATGACACTGGCAAGCGGGAAGTTTCGCACCTGTTCTGGAGATTTCGAGAACCATTTGGGTTACCTGAAGGAATCTATATAAGCGACGACGAGAACCAGACAGGGGGAGTGAAGTGACAGCCGCGACTGAGTGCAGAAGAGGTTAAACCCGCGAGTCGGAAGAGCGAGTTTTCCGTATTTGTTATTGTTTGTGAAGTTGACGGTAATTTTGAAGTTAGTTTGTTCCTGTTCCGCATTTAAAGTTATAGTTGAATAAAAGTTGGAAGCTGAAGAAAGAGTTTGATATCCGGCCATCCACGGTACAATATTTTTATGATTGATTCGGTAAATATGGCATATTGTTTCAAATAAACATAGAAATCAAGTGAAAATAATTATTTTATGAAACACCCAGCATTCATAGTAGTACTACTACATTAATACGAGCGAACCATACAAGAGTGTCGCAAAATAGTTGTCAAGCAAATATTGTTCGTTTTGCGGCGGTAATAAGTTGCTTAATTGAAATTGCGATATTGAATTGAAACAAATTGCGTTAAATATGGTATAATATTTAAAATAAAAGTTCATATCAAATGGGATACTTATAATTTTAACAAACACCTATATCTAACCTATAGTAAGTGTTCAAAATGACGACCGTCTGAGTCCTTTCTTCATTCATTGGTCTGAGTCAACACATGCACCCTTTTTAAAACAACACATCAGTGCTTATACTTTGGAAAGCTTCTGTGATCCTCTCTTTCATATTTTGTGGTATTGTTGGGTCTGTGCTATAGACTAGTTATTTTTCATATTCCCATGAGAAAAGTCCGGAGAGGTCAAATCTCGCAGGCCTTTTTTGACAACCGCTTCTGCCAATCCAGCGCTGTTGAATAAATTAAATACAGATTTAAACATGCTCGAACTTAGCGATCAAAATGTGCTGGCGCTCCATGCGTTGGAAACCTCATGAAACTACAAAAACTATAATGTCGGAATACCTTCTATTAACATTGGAAGCTAATTGGTTAAAAAATCTAAAAACATTTCTCCATTCAAATGTCCTTCGAAAAAAAATAAAGATGAATTAATCAAATGGAATAAAAATAATATCAGTTCACTCTGCTTTAGAGTAATCAAACTCTCATTTTTATGTGTGTTTTGTAAAAAAACTACTAACAAAATAAGACTGCATAGCAACGATGAACTGTCAGCTTTAAATAATATAATGACAAATATTTTGGTTTTTTGACGACACAACGATTTCCATGAAAACCTGAACAATTAGGTATAGGATCCTTTCATATAATTCAATAGAAACGTAAATTTTTTATCTGTTCCTGTCATGAAATATCGGGTGTTCCATTTAAATTAAGCGCGATATTACCATTCGAAACGTCCAATTATTTCAACACATTTTGGGACATCCTGTTTGACGTAGTTGAAGTTTTATTAATTTGGCATGAAACAGCATCTATTAGTAGCCGCAAGAGTAAAACTTTTATTCGAAATGTAAAATGAGTGTTGAGAATTTAACATTTAAAAGGTATTCATTTTCACAAAGCTCCAAATATCTCAGCAACCGGATCTAAGCTTTAAGTACGATAAACCTTCATCAAATTCATATTTAGTTCGATCGCCGCCACTAATAACATAATAATATACAGGGGGTATTTCATTTTAAAAAATGCAACTTTGGTTTCAATCTAGTAATTGAGACACACTAAATTTTGTAAAATAATTTTTAAATGTATCCCCGGCGGTTCTCCGTTTTTTCATCAAATTATATTTTATAAAAATTAAATGGTTAGCCGCATATTCTGTGTCATATAATCTGAATAACCCTGTATATAAATTGTGGATTATTTATAAGATTCGATTTCAAGCAAGAGTTCTAACTTCAGAAAAAAATAGAGTTTTTAAATGCAGACAGACACAGTTATTGAAATATAAGAGCAATTTAGTATTAACCGTAATAATTATTAGATCAATTGCTACTAATGTAGGAAGTATTTTTTACCACGATTTTCCCACTCGATTATAATATTTGACGATTTCCAATGATTTTTAAAGACATTTGGTAACATATCAGCAACAGGTAACAGAAGCTTCAGTACAATGAACACGCAATATATCATATCGATCACATTGCTCACTAAACAAGAATTATGTTAATTTTGTACCTGCAATAAGCAATTTGTAGACAAATTTATTAAACAAAATACTTTTTGCCAAAATCAACAATAGAGATTATTAGATTAAGCATATTGTCATATAATAACAATAAGCAAGTTCGAGCCTTTGGGGGGCCTTGGGGGCCGAAAAGAAAATTCTGCTGTCTATGTTTATGTTCGGTTAAACTTCGGTCTTGGCTAAGCTGGACTTAACCGGTTAATCTCGAGTTAACATAGATGTACTTATCATTCGTAAGGAGCAGAACTATCCTCGAAACTGATGGCTTAAGAATAAGCAAACCTGAAAATATTATTGACCTCGAGTTAATTATAAATACGTGAAGTTTTAGATTAAACTACAGTGCTTTTATAAATCACATTGGCGACAATTGAACCAAAGGTCCTCCTCCGGCCTTTAAGGGGGAAATCTATTTGGTGCAGCAATTTAATAAAACAAGTCTAATTTTTATTTTGAAATGATTGCTATTATGCAAAAGATTTTGGGATTAAATTAGAAACCAGCGTTAAAGATTAGTTTTTCTATATAAAATGCCTCTCCTTAAGAGTTTTTTTATATTTGCCGTTTTCTACCCTACGGATATAAGCCGCGCTCTTATTTTGCCAGTTGTCACGATTTGGTGCCACCTGGTACCAGTTTAGTCCTGCCGCTCGTTTCAGATCGTCGCTCCATCTCATCTGCGGTCTTCCTGTGCTCCTTCTATTGCTCCATGGTCTCCATCGAATTAGTTTACCACTCCACTTGTCCTGGTCTGTTGCGATGTGGCCCGTCCAATTCCATTTCTGAGCGGCGGCGAGTTGCACGACATCATGCACCTTTGTTTTTTCTCTGATCCATTCATTTGTTATCCTATCCCTTAATGATATCCCAAGTATTCTCCTCTCAATAGCTCTCTGATTTACTTTAAGTTTGTCAAGTATAGCTTTCGTGAATGTCCAAGTTTCTGACCCGTAAGTAGTTACTGGTAGGATACACTGGTTGTATAATTCGGTTTTGATGTTTAAGGGTATGTCCATATTTAAGATGTCTTTTATTTTGGCATATGCCGTCCAGGTTTGCCTTAAGAGTTAGAACGGCGGAATCAAGATGCAATTCGGCACTTGATAAGAATTGTTCTCCGCAATGGAAATGCCTTTTCAGTCTTCTTCGTTCTTAGTAATAAATTAAACGTTCTTTTAAGCAAGTCTATAATAAACCCACTTGTGACGATTACTGAATAATGTCCCAGGTATCACAACAGAAATATTAACAAATATCAACATATGAAGGTTGCAACATGACAAATTTCGGACAGAACAAAAGAATAAAAATCAACCTTTAATGAAAACTATTTAATTAAGGCAACGATTTAACTAACAATTTAATAGAGAGAGAGAGAGAGAGAGAGAGAGAGGGAAAAAAAGGTTTCCCTTGAGCGGGTATTTCGGGCGGTCGTGTGCAAAGCCCGAAGGGTGAGTTCGTTTGAGCGCCACTAGCTTTCGCAGCAAATCTAGAACACTCAGCGATGGAATGCTGCCAAAATACCTACTCAATTCTTTTACCGTGATAGCACATAAACTGACTTGAATGATGATACAAAAAAAA